TTATATATGTAAGTAAGCGTGATTATAATAGGACATAATCGCATCTATAATAAAGTATTAAAAAAAAAAAAAAAAAAAATTAATAAATACACAATTATTATTATTTAACAATAATCTATATTTATCAGATATCTGATGATTTATGGATAATCCATACCTCTAATTCATTCATATATCAAATGTTTAGTATTAAAATAAAAGCTGGTGAAAACCTAAAAAAGAAAAAAAAATAAAATATTAATATATTTTTTGTTGAAAAAAATTAAAATAAAAAACATTTCAAATTATATATCTTTGAAATGTTAAATTCTATATATCTAAGGACAAGAACCGCTGAACCTAAAAAAAGAAAAATGAAACATTAATATATATTTTGTTAAAAAAAAATTAAAATAAAAAAGATATTTTAAAGTAGAAAATTTATAAATGTACACGTAGTGTGTGGACACATACCACATGATATATGTTCGCGTCATGATAAATATAGCTGCTGCGCCAATAGCGATACATTTATTTACGTCATACGATGGAATTATTTACGTCATAATCATAAGGTCCTATTGTTAAAATTACATTGTTCTTCTCTCTTGCTTTCTATCTAACCTTTTGGTATAATCAAGATGAATAAAACAGAACAAGAAAATGTTAGTTGTGGTGAACAATATGATGCTTCGCTTTCAATGATAACTTACATAATTTTCTTCTGTTGTATATCGTTATGTTTTCTCTATCTTCTGTTACATGTTCCCTCTTTCTTTCGTTATATATGTTTTCTCTATCTTTGTTGTATATGTTTCTTCTATCTTATTATTTGTCATCAATCATCTAATTAAAGAATCTGCCTAACAGCTTAATGAAACGAACTCAAATTCATTTGTTGATAATGTAATGGACCCAAAATTATTCGTTGATAATGATATAGACCTGAAATCATTCATTGATGATGAAACGGATGAGTCTGATAGACCAGATGAGCCATCTGATTCTTTAAAATTAACCTCTGGGCTTACCTTTACCGACTGGGAAGACTTCAAAGTTGGTTACATAGGTTTGCGTCAAAAGAGGGTTTCAGTTATAAGATCAGAATAAGCGAAACTATTCAAGGTGTAATGCGAAGGGCCACTTACGAATGCACAAAATCTGGGTCTCATAATCCACAAACTACATCGGATCCGACAAAGCAACGCAATGCTCATTTCCAACAAACACTATGCCCTTGGAAACTTAACGTCACTCGTTCAAAAACAGGAGTTGTAAAAGTAAACTCGTTTAATAACGAACATAATCATCCGCTTATCCTGTTGATTCAAGAAATAGCCCCGCGGTTTCAGAAGTTGACAAAGGAAATGTTGGCCGATATAGAGAAGTATGTCATTAAAGGGCGAATGGATTCGGTATCTATATATCCCCTATCAAGGCATGACTATCTAGATCAGCCTATTCTAAGGTTGCTTTCCGAAACCTAGGGGTTTAGGCAAGATGGCGTTTCGCCGAAAAGCGAAATTCTGCCGAAACTATATTAAAGTTATATTAAAAAACTGGCGAAACTTTGGAGAAAGGCGAAACTGCCAAAACTTATTATAAATGCTGAAACTGCTGAAACTCTGTCAAAACTATAATAAATCTATAGTAAAATTTTGACAAAACTAATCGTAGGATTTTGAAGAGGTTTAGACAAGCAACCTTAGCCTATTTACAAAAAAATTTGTATAATGCAATTTATCAGTTTCGACAAAAATATAATCCGGGAGATGAGGATGCCCTCAGATGCTCTAACGATTGATGGACTGGAAGAACTTGGAACCGCTTTGGGTTGTAAAGACTCGATTAGATCCAATTTCAAGGAGGTTGATTTCTCTTTTATGGATGTCATCTACACAAAGAGAGTTATATAGTAAGCACAATGATGTCGTTATAGTTGATAGCACTTATAACACAAACCAATTTCAAATGATCCTTTGTACCGTAACCATAATTGATAATACAGTCAACTCCCTCTATAGTCACTCCCGTTATAGTCACATTCTACTATATAGTCACACCAGTTGAATGTTCAAAACACTTTATTATTAAAATCTATCCTATATAGTCACAATCTATCTATAGTCACTATCACACCTATC